AGGCARCATTTCATACACAGCTCCCCGCATTCTGCCTGTAACAAAATGTTTCCACACCAGCCCAGTTCACTTCCTGCAGATGGTTCACATGCATTTCCTTCCTCCTCTAACCAGAATCCACGGCACAGGCTCTTCCTAAAGATTCTGGCCATTAAATTTCTATTGAAAAAAATTTCTCTTTCAGTACCTGCTACCCAGTAGGTTTACCCCACTGGTTTCACACAGTTCTTCCTTTTTCTTTTCCTTCACCTTCTTGAAAAGKCAGGTTACATACAAAGTCATTGTCAAAGACTAACTGTAGATATTCTCCCTAAATCCACAGAACTATTCAGGTTGACATCCCTCTGAATAGCAGCCCCATTGTGGTTTCAATTGTGAAATGAGGGTATAGTCTGTCTGCTTGTGCAGGTCATTTATATTGATGTGCCAGAATGACMCAGAGGGACATTGCTAATAAGTCAGCAGATAAATTTTGAATTGTTGACTCCTACCCCTCAGCCCCTTGGGGTTCAGTCAATTTTTCACCTGACTGTTATTCCATACCTCTCCAATTGTCTACAAGGACACTTAAGGAGACTAAATCACAGAATCCCAGAATGGGTCAGCTTGGAAGGAGCCACAGGACATCATCTGATGCAACCTCTCTGCTCAAGCAGGGTCATCCCAGAGCACATTGCACAGGATTGCACCCAGACTGCTGTTGAGTATCTCCAGTGATGGAGATTCCACATCCTCTCTGGGCAATCAGGTCCAGTGCTCGGTCACCTGCACAGTAAAGGAGTTCCTCCTCATGTTCAGGTGGAACTTTCTGTGCATCAGTTTCTGCCCATTGCCTACGGTCCTATTGCTTGGCATCACTGGGGAAAGCCTGCCTCCATCCTCTTGACAGCCTCCCTTCAGATACTGACAGACGTTGATGAGGTTCCCCTTTAGTCTTCTCTTCTTGAGGCTGAACAGGCCATGCTCTTCTTAATGCACCCCAGGACACCACTGGCCTTCCTGGCCACACTGATGGGTCATGGACAGCTTGTTGTCCACCAGGATCCCCAGGTCCTTCTCTGCAGAGCTGCTTTCCAGCAGATCAGCCAAGGTCAAATGAGAAATTAAACCCAAAGTCATATATAAACCAGATGGATTAGATTTTTCAATGACTTTCTGGACCGTGAAATCAAACARACATAAACCATAAGCAAGGACACAAATACAGAGGCATCAACTTCAAACGTTAAAAATTCCCAGCTCTTCCCACCTTAACCCTTACCCAGGATCTTTAATGGCTGCCTCAGACATGGTTATAGTGCAAGTGCTTCACTCAAAGCAAGATCAAATTTTATACAAAATTCACCAAAAGCCTCTGCCCCACAGCTGTATCAGTGGGTGCCCCAAAATTATTTAGGTGACACCTTCCACCTAAACACTACTTYATTGCTTCAAAGCTGCCTCATCAATTGTGCTTCACCCAAAGTTCAACCCTGATCCCAGCTGTAATCCTGAGTCAGCACCCTCTTCCTGCCTAGCAGGGAGCTGCTGCCAGAGGCAACACTGATGTCCTTGGTGGGCTGGCAATAAACCCAGCTCACTGGTCACTAAGTCTCCACCCTCTGCCCCATGCCTGATGTTGGCCTCCCCACAACCTCACACTTAAACCATTCCTAATTGTATCAGGGAGATTGCCACTAGCCTAACTCAAGCTCATCATGCCCTCATGGCTCAGCCATGTGCTAATCCCAAATTATGGTCCCTCTCTTCCTGACACAATTTTAACAGCAAGTTGACTTATTCCACCAAGTTCTCTCCAGAGAACAGTTGGCAGAGTACAGGGTGCACAAATTTTGTTAAGCAAAATCAGTTCAGCCAGATTTGGGATGTTTTTCAACAAAAAATTGCGGTGAACCACACGTCGTTTTAATGTCAGACCTCCTGCACTTTGGTAAACCCAAGAAGCAAAATGATTTCTCAGCATAAAGCAGAGAAACCCTGCTGCCTCTCAGCTCTTTGCTGCTGCCAGCCCCAAAACCCTGCAAAGCTACTGCGTACCCCACGGCAGTGAGTGATAGGTGGCTGCTACAATTGCTTGGAGCATTTGGGAATAAGGAGAACTAATTCYATGGTCCACTGAAGTCTTTCTGAAGTCTCAGAGGAGGTCCCATCACAAGTTTACTCCAGGTTTTCTTAACACTGACTTTTGGAAGGGAAGAGGATACTGACCTAGTCCAGTAGTAACTGATGAGTTTAAGTTTTGCCTTACATCAAACTGACTCACCCTACGCTGATACCAACTCACAATTCTCTCTTAATTGGGAAAAWCACTAGGATAGTACTCACTGCCAGAATTCTGGGTCATAAAGTCATTCTCTGACTCAGAAGAAGGTTTACAACAGCTGTGGCAGTGATACGTACTGTAGGTGAGTCATGTTGAACTATTACCACAAACACAAGAACCTAATAAAACAAATACATAAAGGATTGCACTCACCTATCTAAATTATAATGACACATTCATTGTTCTATAGCAAAAGGCTTGACAATGCCTTATAGTGCACTCAGTTTTCAGGAACAAAAAATTTAAAAAATAAAGTTACTAAGCCACTTCTCCCCACAGGAATCAAAAGCASCTTTTTTTAAAAATTCAGAGGCTAAAATTTTAGCTGATATAAATTTTCTGGCAGGCATTAAATTTATGGAGGCATATTGGTTTAAAGCAGCTCAGAATGTGCTTCTAGATTCATGGGCCAAAACCCTATGCTTATTGATTATGCAACTGCAAATGCAGATAGGTATGTCTCAAGGGCAGCATCCAATGTATGTACGAGCATATAACAAAATATCCCATGTATATTCAGAAGTAGAAAACATTCTTTTAAATTTAAATTGTATGAGACTGAAATAAACAAATGCTTTTGGGTGTTCAAAACAAGAATTCCAGTGAATAAAATAAAGAAAATACATAAAGYATTAGTTAAGGAATTACTGATCTTCAGTGAATGGATACTGAGGTAATTCCACTGACTTTGTAGGCCCTCCCTACCTGAACGTGTAATCCTTTAAGTAGTAAGGCTACTAAAACCAACTCCACAAATCAAACTCAACAACAGTCACACCAAAGCACTGGGGCAACCTATGGTCTCCAGCCAGATGCTGTGAAGAGGGTTTTTAAYAAGTCACATGCATTTTCGGGACAACTGATCAGAGGGAAAAGAAGAATTACTYCTGGACAGGAGTCTTAGGTCCTGGGTTTTATAAGTATCGTTAGGTGCTGGGTTTTTATGAATATAAAATGAACTGCCTTTGGTGGAGCAAAGTGGGTTTACAGATGAGGCACCAGCAGCTKCTGCAGCATTTATAAGAACACAGCCGTGTCTGCCGCTTGAGAAGGCATCAATCTTCCACCTTTTRTCCTGAGGGAGCAAACCCAGCGGAGGCATGGCAGTGTCTTTAAGCAGCCTCTCCAGCCCTCTCTGAACAGAGGTGCCGGGGGGCCGCTGACAATCAGACTCCCCTCACTCAGGGGCTGCCCACAGCGGGGCCCGGGGGCTCTCCACAGCGGGGCC